TTGTGTGGATCATTCAGACTACATATCTTAGTCTAGTTGCACGAAAAAAACAAAAGTTTCATGAAGTTTCCTTCTTCTTTTTCGATAGTATCTGCGAATTCTGGCGTCTCTGCAATGTTCTTTTTTTTGCATCGAGGTTCTTCTGCGTCGACAAGTTTTGAGCTCGTTTGGATTTTCTTTTCTGAATGGGTTTAGGTTAGAGGAGGGTGCAGAATTTGACATGGCTTTAGGTAGTTAAGCAGATTTGCAGATACTTAGCTAGGGAACACATGAACTTTTTATTTTATGGGGTTTGTGTTGTGGATGTGATGTGATGTGATGTGCATGTATTGAAGCGACTTGGTGATGTGTATGTGAGATTTGATGCGATATGGATGTTGCTGTGATGTTATGAGGAATTGTCAAGCATAGCTAACATCACCACCAATGCACTTTTCTCCGAACCCATTCAACTGCTTCATTCAACCCTATGCATCTCCCTACCCTTTTCTCCCATTCTCTTTCTTCCCATCCTGCATCTGCAGTTCAAACCCTCCACCCAATCACAGCTATAACCGCAACCAAAAGCCCTCCACCTCTCTCCTTCCTCTTTTCCCTCTCCATTTTTCCTCATTCCATCCCCTCCCCGTCCTCCAGGATAAACTCCCGGCACACACACACTTCCCTCATCCTCCATCTTCCCCAACTATTCACTACAAACCAAAAGTCCAAAACATCCACAGCTATATTGAAATCTAAATCCGGAAGTATCCACTCACATGCCACACGTCCCATATATCATGCCACATGTTACATTCACATATCAACAGAGCACTCAAGCACGCAAGGAAGTGAATACACAATACATGCACGATACACAATACACAACCCCTACCTACGAATCTCCAATAACCAATCATACAATCTCCAAACCCCCACGTAGCCTATACCGAGGATTTGCAAGATATGGCTTACAGCGGCTTAAATATCTAGATGGGTGTTATAGTGGTATTGTGAATACAAGACAGCTAGCTAGCATTATCAAAGTAATGATAATATTCCGAGGATAGAAAAGAAAAAGAAAAAGAAGGGAGTGGATGAGAGAGTGAATATCAAAATTGCTACATACATGAACATCACAATCTCGATATAGCGATAATAATATCAGTAGCCATGATAATCCATCTATGAAAAGTCAAACCTTAAGGTTGTGTAAAATAATAAGTTTATATTTATGCACTTATAATCACCTTCCTCATACCCTCACCTCATCAACTTATATCATGAACGTATATCATCAACTAATATATCCTGTCATATAACCCCTATCTCGTAGTCCCATATCCCAACCCCATTCCTATCCATACCTCTCCTCTCCCCTTCAACTATACACAATCATCACATTCCCAAATCCCAAGTCCTCCACAGAAGCTCACAACATCTTCCAGTTTCAACAAAGAATCTGGATCCATCCTACCATTCCAGTAACAAACCAACCATCTCATTCCCACTACCTGGTACTAAAAGTTTTCTCTGTATGTAGGTATTCTATTATCCATATCCATCCATCTCTCCCTCAACTCCTCAACTCCTCAACTCCTCAACTCCCCCCCTTCCTTCCCACCTTCCTTCCCACCTTCCCTCTTTATCCAAGTAAGTAGATCTCGTAGGTAGGTATTACCGATCCCATAATCGAGATACATGAGTACACCACACAATACTACACCGCACCATCCTCCAATCTACCAAACACACCCACCCAATCAATTCCCATCTGTATAAAGTAAAGTTACTCTCTCTAATCCTCTTTTCCCATTTCCCATTTCCCAATTGCTCCTTCCAACTTGCAACATGTAACTTCCAACTTCCAACTCGCAAATTCTCAACTCCCTTCCCTTCCCTCCCCATTCCATCCCATCCCATCCCATCCATCTTCTCCTCTCTATTGGCCGATTCCCGATCTCAAATTTAATCTCAATCCCTATCCCCATCTTCACCCCAAACCCAATTCTTACTTCTTCGAGCCCCTCCCCAAATAAGTAAAATCCCGTTATATTCACCGCATACACACTTCCTCCCAAAAGTATCATTAGCATCCATATCAACATCCATATCAAACTATCACTCAACCACGCAAACCCCAAATCAGATCAAATTCCACAAAATCACATACAAATCCGTACATACCTACACACACACACAAACAAATAGACCCACAATCATAAAATTCAAAGATTACTCATTAAGGATTAAAAAAATACCCAACATCATATCGACCTCTCTGATACGAATTCCAAGTGCAAATTTATCAGCCCCAGATGCCGATGCAAACTAGCACGATATTCTCGAATGGTCCCACGAGATTTCTTTACCATAATGCCCTAAAGCCTTGCCCAATATCGTAAAGGACACACATACACACGTATGTGTATTGAATCCATCCCATGCGTACAGAAAAGTGAAGCTATGTATGTGAAGAAAAGAGATAAAATGTACAAAGAAGTGAAGAGATGAGTTGAATACTGAGGGGCAGCAGTCAAGTTGACGAGCCAAGCATGAAAAGAAAACCAAACCAAAACAAAGCAAACTCATTAATTCCTCGAAATTTCTCCGCTCGCAGGTTTATGATCAAGTCTCTTGATAATCGCTCCCAACACCGCTTTCACAATTCCATCCCCCGTCAATCCCGCTTCAGTATCCCTTCCATTCCACGTAACCGTATCAACCATATCTCGAATCTTATATCGATGCTCCAACGCATCATCCAAATCCTCCAGGGCCTGTTTTGCCTCTGCCACTTTTCCCACCTGAAAAAACTGAATGCCCACTTGGGTAAGCGGGGCATCGATATCATCCAGTTCGCGGGCCACTTTCACGATTTCCGATTCCGGGTCGTCGGAGGCCGCGCCGTCGGTAATGACAATGAGATTTAGGGGCTTGACTTCTCGTCCGGCTTTGAGATCTTTCTTGGCGCGCTTCATGTAGGGAGAGAGAATGTCGCGAATGCGTTTGCCCGTGGGGGTTATACCTTGGGGTTTGTTGACGATAGACCATACTTCTTCTACTGAGGCGGCGTTTCGGATGTTGTAGTAGCCGGTACCGGCGACGCCTTCGTTTTCGTTGCCCTTATGTTTACTTTTGTGGTTCATGAAGTATACGTCGATTCCATCGGCATCGTAGGCAGTAATGATTGGTGCTATGGTTTGAAGAGCGAAGAAAACTTGTTCCCAAGCTGTAGGGCGGGTATACCATCCCATGCTAGTCGAATCATCGATGAGAAGGACTGTATCGAATGTAGATAGGAGAGCATAAGGTGATCCATCGAGATCATGTTGTGGGATAGGTCCCGCAGTATTTGGAACTGTAGAAGAGTGACGTGATGCGGAAGTGCTGCTGCTATAGAATTTAGGAGAATTATTCTGGGATGTAGAAGCATTTGTGTATGCTGTGGAAGCGTTACTGTAAGGCGCAGGAGTATGATTGTACGACGGAGACGTTTGGTTGTACGAAGAGGGAGATATTGGAGATGTGGAAGTATAGGCTGGTGGAGGAGCATTATCTGGGATTCCTCTGGGAAAGGATAATGGACTTTTGGATGGAGCGGTGCTCTTTGAACGACCTAGCTTATCGCGGATACTTCCCAACAAACCACTCTTACGTTTGAGATCACTGCCATGGTTCTGAGAATTGAAAGACATGATGAAGTTGTTTGAACGTATCAAAGTGGTGTACCAGAATAGGAAGGTGGGGGTGTAAGATGTCGTAGATGGGAAGATGGGAAGATGGGAAGATGGGAAGATGGGAAGATGGGAAGATGGGAAGATGGGAAGATGGGAAGATGGGAAGGCTGAAGATCTTTAGACTATAAAAGGGTGTTTGTGTGTAACGTGATTATGACTTGTTACTGCTCTGTCTGTACTGTACTCTAGGTAGGTATGAATGTTATTAATAAAATGGTGTCCAGAATGACTGACTTGTGAACGTTATGAATGTTATGGTTTTATGAAAACGATTCCAATATTTCCAACTGGCCAGTAAGTACTTATTATATTTCACAGTAACATTCCTATGATATTAGCGCTGTGTATCTAGGTAACATTGGGATTTAGACTTTGAATCTGCCCAGGCGAAGTAAAGCTTCGAATCAGTTCTAATACATAAGTGAGATTGAAAGTTTTAAGTAGCACAGCATTGTTCATTAGCCGACATCTAAACATCAATGTAATAGGTAGATTTGATGAAGTTGTTTGATATACATGTGAGGAGAAATAAAAAAGTTGACAGTATGTTTGAGCTTGGAGTGATATCATTGGTTCGATTAGCATCTTAGCGTCCGTGAGAAAGGCGCAGTTTGACTTTGCCAACCACAAGTCCCAACCACAAGTCCCAACCACAAGATTTCAACTCTTGTCACCATTTCTCCATAAGGCAACGTTGGTACACGGCTGTGTACGCCCCCTGATACGACAATAGAATGCTTGTGCCGATGAACCGGTCCCAAGCACCCATCACTCATACCTCTTCGCACGTTTTCCCCACGATATTGAACCATGAGGTAAATCAACCCAAATGATAACTACCGGGAGGCTTGGCATCTACTTCGTGGGATAAAATGCAGGAACGTTGCAATGTAATAAAGGCTATAAGTTTTATTGCCACAATATAATGCACTGCGACTCCTTCAGTCTAAGGCATTTCTCTTGACAGAAAAGTTCTATATCCTTGTGATCTTGTCTTGTGGATGGATTCAGAGATGATACATTCCTTGAGGAAGGGTGTAGTAAGATATTAGGTCCTGAAGGCTGCAAGCAAAATATTACACCAAGCCTCGATCTTTGATTGCAAGATGACAGCAAGGCGTTGATGGGCAATCCAGTTTGTTACTGGGTGACTCGTCAAATTTTTTGTCAAAATATAGAGAGACTGACCTGAGTTATTATAGAGGCTCATCAATGTCTTTCGGTAAGACTGTTTGAATACATGTGGCTAGAGTGGCAGGTGGCTCAAAGTTGTGGCATATAATGTCAGACCAGTGTCAGATTTCGATGAGTCAAATTGACGAGGCTCAATTTCTTCTCCGAGTCAAACCCGGTGACTATTACGTCTTTGGAGGTCAACTTTTCGCAAACCAGAAGATTCCATTATCAAGAAGTGATCTGGATTCGAAAGCTTTCGGGCTGATGCCTGTTCTTGTGAAATATGGTGGCAAGGGAGTTTTCGAGTTTTCGCTCGCTTTCTTTGGGTGCCTACCTGTTGCGGAAGACTCAATAGGAATCTCAGGTTGCCGGAATTGTAGCGAGTTAAATGAATTATAAGGGAAGGAGAGGGGTAGAGGGGTAGAGGAGTAAAGATCCGGCGGCTATTGCAACGTCAATTCTAAGGCGTCTCCACTGCCTGGGGATATTGCCGCCGAAGCAATGGATTGGGGGTGGCAAAAGGCTGGCGGCAATTTTGTGATACGGGTGTAAGTTGGTGTGGGTGATCAGATCAGAAAATGGCCTTGATACATTGGATAATGCAGGTAAGTCAGGTAGGGGTCGGAAGTTTTTTTGAGTTGTTTCCAATTCTGCAGTGTACCTTGATCAATGGTGCGGTTTCGAGGGAAGGATAGCTACGGACACGGATATAGCCAATATGTATTGGTATGTTCGGACCAATGATATCGTGTAATATTCAGAGCATAGGAATATTGTCCTCATATTCGTTATACTTTGTACAAACTATAGTGTAGCCTGGTTTGATGACCAATACGCAAAGCTTTCTCTGCGCCTTTGGTATACTAGCAGAGACTGTACATCTTTCCTCTATATCTATCATTATCACGTTATCATCATCACGTTATCACAGAATAGATGCAAATTCAAAGCCTTTTTGATATCAAGGACGGAGTTAGGGGAGAGGTGTATTGACCGGAGGTGATTTATTGAACGAAAATGGGACACTGAATGAGGATTGTGTATGGCACGGAAAAGGTGATAATAATCTTACATTTATGAAATGCGATATAGCGGCAGGTATAGGTTATTGATAGGATATGAGATATCGAAAAGAGGAAGTACACTAAATGGGAATAGTACATCGAATAGTACATCTATAAGAAAAAGAGTTGATGCATTGAATCGAAATGCTTCGTGTGAGTATGAGCATTCAACTTCGGACATACTGTATGCAGCGTATGCAGCGTACACCTCAATTGTATCCTCTGTTCCTTCACTTTGGCTGCCCTTCACAATCAAATAATGACAGCATTTTGGGCTGTCATTATTGACTTTGACCATTTGGATGTGACATGATAAATACCTGCGACAGTTATTACTCGAGTACTGTACTGTCAATTGAATTTTACCATGTAATCCAACAAAGGCATCAACAATCTTGCTTCTGCATAGATAGAGTGGAGCAATCATGAATACGATATGATGTAGGTATTAGGTATTAGGTATTAGGTATCAAATATACGGGTACGGGTACCGTTCTTGTCATTCGTTTCGTGAACTTTCTCTGTCAAATGTGAGTGGGGATACTCATGGTCATGGTTTGAAAAGCTAGACTGGGCGACGTCATTGGGTGAGAAGGCGGTAGAAGAGGGTAGAAAAAGAGTGCAGGCAGTGGTTCCAAGGTTACCTAGTTTGAGTGGTTCTACCGTTCTACCGTTCTACCTATGCTTCTACCTATGGGGCTGAGAGAGAGGCTTAATAAATAAAAGACTCTTCCATTAATAATAGTTAAGTTAAGACGCTTTTTAGCTGACTGTGAATCTGTGATGTGAGTCATGTGACACAACCTTCCTTACCTAATAATAATCCTATGGAGGGAAGAGGGGCAATTGAACCCATAACCATCAAATGAATCAAAGAATCAAAGAAATGGAATAACTAGCATCAAAATATCCTCATAATCTCGAAAATTCAATTGATTGCTCCCACGTACATCAACAACACCATGCATGCATCTATCATCCCTTTTCCATTGATAACAATCTCCAAATGTAATTAATTACAAATGATCCAATCCAATCCATTCCATTCCATCACATCTAGAGGATTCTTTCCATCTCCATGTCCAAGTACTTCGTAGAAGGTGATGGTGAATTCTAGAGCTTCCCACCGCCTTCTCTTTTCGTCCATATCCACCGCTTTAAGGCAAAGAAGATTCCAGAATCGAAGCTGCTGGAATCGAACTTTTCGCTTTAAAAGTCTCACAGCCAACCCAACTTTTTCCATTCTGCATATTTCTCAAACAAACCTCTTTAAGATACCACTTTTGCAACGACTCTTTTTCTCGATTTTCGCACAAAAGCGATCAAAGAAGTGACCATACTTTGACTATTAAATTCACAGAACACGCACAACTAGATTAATCCGAGATGGCTCCAGCGTAAGTTACTCCATTCCATCAACCCCTCCTTCAGCCTTACACCTCTAGCTAGAAGCTGGAGGGTCAACAACATCCATCACCACCACCAACAAATTTACTAACTCGTCTCACAGTATTGGTATCGATTTGGGAACTACCTACTCTTGTGTAGGTATCTTCCGTGATGACAGAATCGAAATTATCGCCAACGACCAAGGAAACCGTACCACTCCTTCCTTTGTTGCTTTCACAGATACCGAGCGTCTGATCGGAGATGCCGCCAAGAACCAAGTCGCCATGAACCCAATCAACACTGTCTTCGATGCTAAGCGTTTGATTGGTCGTAAGTTCGCAGACTCGGAGGTTCAAGCCGATATGAAGCACTTCCCATTCAAGGTCATTGACCGTGCCGGAAAGCCAGTTATCGAGGTTGAGTTCAAGGGCGAGAACAAGCAATTCACACCAGAAGAAATCTCTTCGATGATCTTGGTCAAGATGAGAGAGACTGCTGAGGCTTACCTCGGAGGAACTGTCAACAACGCTGTCGTCACTGTTCCAGCTTACTTCACCGATTCTCAACGTCAAGCCACCAAGGACGCCGGTCTCATTGCTGGTCTTAACGTTCTCCGTATCATCAACGAACCTACCGCTGCCGCCATTGCTTACGGTTTGGACAAGAAGATTGAGGGTGAACGTAACGTTCTCATTTTCGATCTTGGTGGAGGAACTTTCGATGTTTCTCTTTTGACCATTGAGGAAGGTATCTTTGAGGTCAAGTCCACCGCTGGTGACACTCACTTGGGTGGTGAGGACTTTGATAACCGTCTTGTTAACCACTTTGTCAATGAATTCAAACGAAAACATAAAAGTATAATTCCCTTTTCCTTTGTTATCTTCTTCCCCCGTCCACTCCCCCCTCCCTCGCCAGTGCTTTCAATTGTCAAAAATAGTTGAGACATTGAATAGTATGCTGAGGCAATAATGACCTCGCAATGTTTTCAATTGTCAAGATTATTTGAGACTTTGAAGTACTGGTTATCATCACCAAGTCACTTTTTTTCCACATTCTTCATTTACAATATGCTAACATACTATATCACAGAGGATCTTTCTTCCAACGCTCGTGCCCTCCGTCGTCTCCGTACTGCTTGCGAGCGTGCTAAGCGTACTCTCTCTTCTTCCGCACAAACCTCCATCGAAATTGACTCTCTCTTCGAGGGTATCGATTTCTACACCTCCATCACCCGTGCTCGTTTCGAGGAACTCTGCCAGGACCTCTTCCGTTCCACCACCACCCCAGTCGACCGTGTCCTCGCTGATGCTAAGATCGACAAATCCAGAGTCCACGAGATCGTCCTTGTCGGTGGCTCTACCCGTATCCCACGTATTCAAAAGCTCATCACCGATTACTTCAACGGTAAGGAGCCAAACAAGTCCATCAACCCTGATGAGGCTGTTGCATACGGTGCTGCTGTTCAAGCTGCCATTCTCTCTGGTGACACTTCCTCCAAGTCTACCAACGAGATTCTCCTTCTCGATGTCGCGCCATTGTCTCTCGGTATTGAGACTGCTGGTGGACAAATGACCAAGCTCATTCCAAGAAACACCACCATCCCAACCAAGAAGTCTGAGGTCTTCTCGACCTTCTCTGACAACCAACCTGGTGTTCTCATTCAAGTCTTCGAGGGTGAGCGTCAACGCACCAAGGACAACAACCTTTTGGGTAAATTCGAGCTCACTGGTATCCCACCTGCACCACGTGGTGTTCCACAAATTGAGGTTACCTTCGATCTTGATGCCAACGGAATCATGAACGTCTCTGCTCTCGAGAAGGGAACCGGAAAGTCTAACAAGATTGTCATCACCAACGACAAGGGCCGCTTATCCAAGGAGGATATCGAGCGTATGTTGGCTGAGGCTGAGAAGTACAAGGCTGAGGATGAGGCCGAAGCTGAACGTGTTGCTGCCAAGAACGCTCTTGAGGGCAAGGCTTACCAAATCAGAAGCTCCTTGTCTGAGGCTGATCACGAGCTCTCCAAATCTATCCCAGACCCAGCTGCCAAGGCCGAGTTGCAAGCCAGCGTGGATAAGATCGTTGCCTGGGTTGACGAGAACCAACAAGCTACCAAGGAGGAGTATGCACAACAAGAGGCTGATCTTGAGGCTGCCATCAAGAAGGCTACTGCTGGTGGAGCTGGTGGAGCCGGTGGTGAACCCGCTCAAGATGCTGAGATCGAGGAGGTCGACTAAACGTTTTCTTTTTGTACCCTGACGAATTTCCTTTACTCTGCATATGATAATACCTCCACACACGATGGTTATTGGGTGTTTACTGGTTTTTTTCTATTGTGGTTAGATTTGCGGTTGTTTTCTACATCGGAAAAGCCGGTGTTTTCTCAATGTATTAAAGCTTTAAATAGGAGCATAAAATATAAGATGATTAAATAATATTTAACTTGTTCCAAAATGAATTTGATGTGATGTGAGGATTTGAAGTTCCTTTTAGAATGAGGATTGCCTGGGTCTCTTTGTCAAGGGTCAGTGAGACATACTTATAATAATTGTCGGATAGCCTCTCAGACAATGGATTGTTCATTCCTGGTCCTTTCGTGTACCTATTTCTTTCGACTTTGCTTCCACTACTCTTTTCTATAATCAACATCCAACCTTTCAATTGTCTTAAAGCTTCTCAAACAATGAATTGATTGTCTCTAGCTTCTTGCGTGTCCCTACTTACCCCACCGGTTCTCTTTGCCTTTTGAGTCGTTTACACTAGAGATCTCTTTTGTTCGAAGTCCAAGAATTAAACTGTGATTGTCTTGTTAGTTCGGAGAGAATGGAATCAATGGATTGTTTATTTTGGGTAGGATGCGAGGGAGTTTTCTCTTCCTGGGTTAGGCCTTGTGATGGAATCGTTCGTATTGAGAATAGGGTTTTTTTTTGGTCTTTTTTGGTCTTT